AATTAGGGCCAAAGCTGTCCCAGCAGGCTGACTCCATCCTTCACATAAACCTGGTTGTCATGGCGGTAGGAGGGAAGGGAAACTGGGAGAGGACCATGGACCAGTGCTGTGGGAAAAGGGGCTTCTGTGCCTTACATAAGTCATGTTCCAAGTGTACACTTTTGAATAAGAGGCAAGCAGTCTAGCCCCCAGCTCCCAGGCACTGCGTGGCATCAAGAAAGTCCTCTCAGATTACTCCAAGCCTGTCCCTGGCTTTATTTATATTACTCCGGGACCTAAAGGGTTATGATTCCTGAGAAAGGAAGGTGGTTACCAGAAACATCTACAGGAAGAGGAGCAAAATACTAGTAAAATAGCTCCCCCGGGGGTAAACTGACCTTCCAAAAACTAATCAATTGATGGAATAATCACCTCATTTTTAAAATAACTGAGGAATGCAATTTATTCACTTCTGCTTCTGATAGAAGTGTTTACAAAGAAAGGCTTGGGCTCCCCAAATACCTTGAGAATAGAGGAAATTTTCCGTTGATTTCCCTGATTTCCTCCTTCAGCAAATGACCCACCTTCTTCATTTTAGTTTTGTGTTGTACGATTCAGACGGACAGAATCATTACGTACACAACTCAAATAAGCTGCTTCAGGAGCTGGTGACTTATGTTTCACCATCAGCGTAACTTTAAAGCAGCCTGATGGACCACATGGTGACCCTAAGAACTAGCATTTGTCTAATCCTCTCAGATGTCCTGAGGGTCTCTCATATGTGTCATTTCACATGATGCCCGTGACAGTCCAGCCAAGGAGATCCCTTGATCCCCATTTCAAAGATGAGGTCAGAGAATAAAGCGACTTGGCCAAGCTCACAGTGCAATGATCAGAGATTAAGGACTTCAACCCAGACCTGGCTGATGCCAAGTCCAGTGCCTTGTCAGGACACACGCTTCTCCCCTGCCTGGGATGCTTGCGAGGGACGTTCTTGAACCAGAGAGCTGGCTGGCATGATGGTTTCTAAGGTCCCTTCCAATTCTAATAGTCTGTGCTTCTATCAATAAAATGAGGGGGTTGGATTAAACCAGAGGTTTTAGAAACTTCTTGTAGCGGAAAAGATCCTTTCCTCTCAAAGGAAATCTCTAGAATGCCAAAACATAACATAGGTCATCCCAGCTCCCCTCTGGTTGAAAAAGAAATGACTTCCACCCAAATGTCCATCAAGTGACAAATGGATAATAAAATGTGGTATATCCATAGAATGGAATATTAGTTGGCCATTAAAAAGGAACAAAATATTGATACATGCTACCCCATGGGTGAACCTCAAAAACATGGTAAGTGAAAGAGGACAGACACAAAAAACTCCATTTACATGAAGAATCCAGGATATGGAAATCCAGAGACAGAAAGTAGGCTGGTGGAGGCGGGGACGGGGAATGATTGCTTAATGGATGCAGGGTTTCCTTTTGGGGTAACAAAACATTTTGGAGCTAGAAAGCGGTGATGGTTGCACAACATCATGAACGTACTAGATGCCACTTTTATATGGTGTGAATTCACCTCCATATGTGTGTGTAGAGACAGATGATGGTTCTAGAATCCTCCCCTTTTAGCCTCCCCCTTCTCCTGTCCCTGCAGTGCCTCCAAAGAACCCTAGTATGTAAATCAAGAGTCACCAGATATTACAAAAAGTCATCATAGTTCAAAACAGCTCTCATATGACAGCTATTTTATTCCTTCAGGGGCCAAATGTATTTTCTCTTAACCCAACAAATAAATTTGCCTGGGCCAGTGACATCATGCTACTTGGAAACAAAACTTTCCACTGGCAGCCAGCTCCACTGTCAAGTCTAGTCCACAGTGATCTAACAGCTTTGGGTTTAGGATATGTCATTGGTTTTAAACTCAAAAGTCTGCTTTAAGTATATCAGAAAAGATCATGGTAACCAAGCATTACCTTTTGTTTGTTCAGATTCTAGTAGATAATTTTATTGTTGAGCAGTAAACCAAGCGTTATTAAGTCCCTACTATATAGTAAAAGTCTTTCACATTGTTTCATTTAAATGTCATTAATTCCATTTTATAGAAAAGGATACTGGGGCTCAGAATAGCTCTGTACGTCCACAAGGTCAGGATTTGAATCTCAGTCTCTTCAGCTGAAGAGAAAGTTCTATCAACTATGGCAAGATGGGTCTCAGCAGGGTTGCGAGTTCCTCTCACCATGGAAGGCACGAGGACTGCTTTCAGTCCCACCAAAGAACTGACCCCAGCCTACCTGCCCTTCCGGGGTGTGTGAAGATGCATGACACACGGACACACGTGTCTGGTGCCCTTCCAAGGCCCCCCTCTGCACCTTCCCCGAGCGGTTTAGAGATATGAGGAGTACAGGACATCTATCGACCTTTTTTCTTTAGCCTGTGCAGGAAAAGTGAAAGCCCACTTCAACAGTCTTGCTGACAAAGCGTACTCAAGAAAGAACTGATGAAGGACACATCAGACCCTCTTTTGCTAAGGAGTTGAAGGGGAAGGCTAGGATACCATTTGTTTACAACTGTTTACGTTGGATCCTATTCAAACACAAGAAACTCCAGCTTCTAAAGTTAACTGCCAGCCTAGAAGTCCATGTGACATCACTTCCTGCAGTGGGAGTGACCTGGACCCAGAATGGAACACACAATTCAGCACTACAGCACTGTGCATTATCTGTGGGCACAAACATGGTGCTTCTCCACGTTATACTGAAACATTTCTACATAAAAGAGTTGAGAATAATTTCAGCCTTTTTGTCTGTATGGTAAAGCTATTAAAATGATGATAATAATTCTTTACATAAAAATTCACTTTACAGATTACAAAATTCTTTCATGGACAATCATTGCTGGGTTTTTTTAAAAAAATGGTATAATTAAGGAAAAATATCAGTAAATGACATTTAGCTATTAACATACACCCTCCTATTGTAGGTAAGGAAAGGGTGAGGTGGAAGCGTCTTTCTATTAAAATTGAAGTCAGGTTCTTGAAGCTCTAACTGTTCCTGATTACCAATAAAAAACAAAAAAAGTCGATGCTTTTTAAATTAAAAATGAGGTGCTGCTACTTATGACTTGATAAGTCGTAAAATGCCTTTCCCATCCTTCCCAATGGTCCTGGGCCCATTTAAATTGCTTTTAAATTTTAGATCTGCAGCTCATATGGATCATACCGAATGCCAGGTGTTGGTGAAGAAAAACAACTAGAACCAGATAAAGGAAGTTAATCATGTGTTGAGGCCATCTAATGTGAAAAATACAGTAGCACCCTTACCTCTCTTCCTGGTTTTGGTGGCAGAGGTTAAGAAAGCTCAGGCCACACAATGGCCTTTGAACTTGTTCCCACCAAAGGAATCAGAAGGCTAATGTGTCAAGGTCATCTTTAAAAGTATCCCCCTGGGCCACAGTGGCGTGGAGAGCCACCAAAATCTCCCCGCAGTGCAATACGGTCTCTCAAGACCTAAGCTCTGCTGGTGAGATCAATAACCATTAGAGAGTAGATTTTTGAGAGATGAGTTATATCACAATGCATCTGACCAAACTGCAATTAATCCACTGCTTTTCCTCAGGGATGGCTAAACATAGCAGCTGCATGCGTGTATGCGTAGACCCATTACCCAGCTGCCATGGGCTGCTCTGAGGATTCTGCAGACCTGACATGCCACCACTTTGAAGCCCTAGTCGGTGGAGGCAGGATCGGCCCACGTGAATGACAGGTGAGCGTTCTCAGCGAGTCTGGCTGGCAGTGGATCTGTGCCTCACACAGCAAAGAAGGCGCTGGAAGAGAACTGGGCCGAGCAGGCACCATCCAGCCTGACTCAGAATATGCCAAATGCTCCTTCCGAGTGACATTTCCTGTAGGGCAGTGGCTCTCAACCTTGGCCGCATGATAGAATCACCTAGGGAACCTCAACTATTTCTGTGGCCAGGCCTCCAGCCCAGGCTAATTAAAAGCATCTCTAGATGTGTGGGTGCTTGCACTGGTATTTATGAAAGCTCTCCAGATGGTTCTAATGTGCGGCCAAGGGGAGAGGCGCTACTGCAGGGTGATTCGAACAATATGTGGGCTTGAGCCCAGCTGGTGAGGGGCTGCAGTAGAGGAACCTGCAAAACACCACTTGCTTAGGGAAGTCAGCGTTCCTCACGTTCCTGAACCATAGCTGACAAGTGCTTTACTTGTCTGGGAGCGTATGAGTCAATCTGATATGTCGGGGGTACCAGGAGAGCTGTTGGGATTGCTTGTCTTTGATTTTTCTGCCTAAAAGAGGCACAATGATATTCACTCAACACTTACTTTGTGAAAGCCAGGAATTTGGTAACAAAACAAAGCAAACAAAATACCCAAGTGAAATGTCATTCATTTCAGGGCTGATTCCATGGAGGGAGGGGCAGGGCACACATACTCCCATCAATATCCCAGTGTAACATCCACTGGGTGGGTAGGATGGAGAAGAATTATAACTGTTGTAAATATTACAGAACTGCCACAAGTTCAATAATTGGTTCTGCAGGTTTTGAAACAAAAAGCTTATACTGCAAGAATGCAAACATCATGAAGAAAATTAAAAGGAAGCGATCCTTACCACGTCCAAGTTACCTGTGGCCCTCTCCTCCGGCATTTTGTACTCTCTCCCTGTGCTTGAGGATTTCACAGAGAAGCACCAGGTGGGCAATGGTGAGTGAGGGGAGATGCTATCACTGGGGGAGAGTGGGTTTTTAGAGAAGACTTTCCAGACTCAGATAACCGTCCGCTAGAAATTCGTCCACTGAACCCCAAGTGTTGGAGTCACGTTGTAGGTCTCCATCACCTGACTTTGAGTCACCGTATCTGGAGGCTGATACTCATAGATGAAACCATGATTTATTAGACTGCTTAAGGTATAAACCTCACTCCCAATGTTAACGTGTTTTAAGAACTTAACTTACCTGCTTAGGACATAGGAAGCAGAGTTGATAGAAATAAATGATATAAAAAATACTTACTGGCTCTCTCTTTTCTTCTTAAATGGGTCCATGAGACGCAGTGTGTCTCTGATGACGGCCACTTTCACTTCTTCATCGACAAGGCTGGGGACATTCTCAAACACCCCTGGAGAGAGCTTGAAGGGTAAGGATTCCATGTTACAGTGGAGAGAGTGGTTCAGCACCAACTGACCACCAGCACAAGCCCCAGTGGTTGTACTGTTAGAATTCTCTAAAGGCTCCCTTTAGTCTACCTGAAAAATGTCAGTTTCCTTTAACAAATCAACAAAATACATGAAGGGGAAAGACAGCACTATGTGTTTCTCATTATCAAAATGATACGTGTTCGTTGTAGAAAAATTGGAAAGAGGGCAGAGGGGAAGAAAATTAAAAGAATCCATATAGTCCCCACAAAACCCAGTATTAATCGTTGGTGTATTTCTTTCCAGTCTTTTTTATGCATTCTTAAGTGGCGGGGGGAATGGGGCGGGGGAGAAAAAGATAACCACTGTTAAATGTACTATTTATCTTAGTGGTTCAAGCATGTCGACATGGCTAAATCATATTCGTAGAATTTCAATTAGTTCATCTCCTGAGGCTAACTAATTAGTTCATGTCAAAACTGATGGAAAGGCTCAACTGCTTCTACATTTGCAGATCGTAAGAAGTGGAGAATGGCATGCTGGGAAGTTACCATAGGTCGGGTGGATCTTATATTAATAGATGATGTTCAGAGCTCAACAAAATTGAAATCATGTAGGCCTGAACAGAACTTTGCTGGGCAAATCTGAGAATGTCGAATCTCATTTAGCCAAGGGAGCAACAGGAGAGTGGGAACATTCGGTTGGATGGTAATATATTCAATGAGATACTCAAAATACTCACTTCTTGCTCGTGTTCGATTCTCATGCTGGGGTTTGCATTTACTTCAAGTAGTATAGGCTTCAGATTTTTCATGAGAAGAATGTCAAAGCCTAAAATCTGGGGCAGTATAAACATAATTCAGAATTACTCCCTTTAGCTGCAGTGTCTTTGCAGGAATCGAGTATGGTATTAGGGGAATCAAGGTGAAAATTAATTCCAACCCCACCCCCAGCCTGGGCCTTGACCCTGGCTTCTCTCGTCCACAGGCCCTCTTCCTCTGGATGTACTTGTCAGGCCAAATGGACAGCAGAAAATTTTATAGGGGCCTTGGTAATGGGATGAGGTCCCATGGTTCACTTCAGCACCATCGGTGTCATCTGAAGTGCGGTGGTAAGATGATGACCTCTTTCTTCTTTAACAGGTTTTTTATTATGTTAAGGATCAGTAGTAGTCCATCAATTTCTCCCTCTCCTTCTGTTCTCCTCTATTAAGTTGCTTCTTAGCTAGATCTCTACAAAACCCAAGGCTATCTTTCTTAACCTCGGGTATATATCAGCATCACTTAAGGACCCCTTTCAAAACCACTGCCCGTCCCCAGCCCACACCTATGAGTCAGAAACTTCCAGAGTGGAACGCAGGCAAATGTATTTTCAATAGCAAATCCCCTGGGTAATTCTGATAGACCCTCCTACCTAAGAGGAAGGGAATATTTATTAGGTGCCCACTAGGCACCAATTATGATAAAATGCACCAATTATTCAGAATCACGTTTAATCCTCATGACTGCGTATTTGAAGAAGGGATCATGCTCTCCATTTCACAGAACCAGAAACTGAGTCTCGGAGAGGCCAGTGGATTTCCTGAGACTGCCTCTCTAGTAAATCACAGAGCTGGACTTCACACCCAAGCAGAACTGGCTACACAGTTTGTGGGACCCGGTGCCAAGATGAAAATGCAGGGTCTGTTGTTCAAAAAGTATTAACAATTTCATGACGGTGAAACAGATCATTAAACCAAGTGTGGAGGCCTTTGGAGTGTGGGACACTGAGTGCACAGCCCACACGCCCATGCAGCCAGCCTGCATCCAAGGCTAAGTCCAGCATCATTGGCCGGCCGCCTGCTCTTGAATCTGGCCGGCTGCTGCCTCAGGTGAGGCTTTGTCTTCTGGCCTCTTTCAGTTCCTCACAGGCCCCATGATCAGGGTAAGCCACTGCTTGAAACAACCCTTTATTGAGATAACATCTCCTCACCCTTAAGACTGCAGGTGCTAATTGGATTCAGATGGACTATAAGGACACCAGATTCTTGGGAGGACTCTTATTATGTCCCTAGGAGGTGATAAGGTAGAAAGCTCCCAAAGTTCCCAAAACTAATGTGGAGAATAAAGGAAAGAAAAAAGATACAGCTGCATCTCCTCCTCTGTGGACTCAAGAAGAAAAGATGAGGGAAAATCCATTTACTTGTCTATACAGAATATGCACTAGTGAAATGATAATTATTAAACTGTAGCTTCATCCTTATTAACGAAATCAGAGCCCGAATGACCATTTCGGGGGCGTAATTCAAGATGAGGTTATTCTTCAGTAAAGGGCAATAAGGATGAAAAGTTGGGAAAAGTCATCCTCACTCTATTTTTCTTTCCCTGGTCATAAGAAGAAAGGAATGGAAATGCAGCAGAAAATGTTGCATGTATTACAGATCCGCTTAGTAATATATGACAAGTGGATATGAGTGATGAGGCCTTTAAGAGACTCTGGTGACATCATCAGTCTAACTTCAGACCTGGCCTGAGACACGTGATGTGATGAGGCTACAGAGAATGGAGGGCTGCAGTTTATCATCCTGAGTCATAGACGCTTACTTTCCGCTACATTAGAAGTTTGGACTTGTACTTCCTCAGCCTGGGGGACTCTTCTCAGCTCAGTGCACGGTGGTTTTATGCATTCACAGCTATAGGGAAGCTGGAGAAGGGGAGTGGCAAAACCTTAGCCACAGGGACCTGCACACAGCAGTAGCATCATATTTTCCAGAACCTAAACTTTGGTGCAGGTAGTTGAATGGGTTGGGTCTTGCACAGGAATGCTTTGGAGCCAGATTTGGGTTTCAATCCCAGCTTGGGCTCTCACACTAGCTGGACAGTTCTAAGCCCCAGTTTCCTCATCTGTAAAATGGGGATAGGAATAGTACTTACCTTAGTTCATTCATTCGTAAAATACTGACTGCCTCCTATGTCCCAGAAACTATTCTAGCTTCTGGAAATAAAGGAGTGGACTGGACATAGTCCCTGCCCTTATGGACCTTACACTCTAGTCGGGGAGACAGGAGCAAATAAAGTTAATGTGATGTAAAATACCTTGCACAGTACCTGACGCATAGTAAGTATTTAATGAAAGTCATCTTTATATTTTTTCACAAGTTCAAGGAAATGTGGAGCACCAATGGATCTCAAGAAGCAGAATCACAGAACCAGGAGGAGGGGTGCTATTATCATAAGATCCCAGAATGTCAGAGCTGGCAGAAAATCAGGAATTTATCTGGTTCAGAGTTTTTCAAAATGAGGTCCTTTTTTGGGAAGCACTGGGGAGGCCGGATCATACCAACTTTTACCTTTTTTTACATCCTGGGGTTCCCAGGGGAAAAGCATATATATATATTTTAAAACCTACTAAGTTAGTCTAGCACCCAATTTGCAGACTAGAAACCTGCAGCTTAGAAATGGGAAAACCTCTCTCCAGTTTGGTGGCAGAGTAGGAAATGCCAAATGGAGAAAGAGAACTTTTCAATTATGTGATACTCTCCACCCCTCCAAGTAATTCAGTCAGCAATTATGTGTTGCTACTTGAGGTGTGCCCTGGGGATTTAAAGATATCTGTCCTTCATCCCTTACCTCTAGAGGCTCCCAAAGCAAGTTGGGGAGAAAAGGGCCCCGAGCCATTAACTGTAAACTCATGCAAAGGCTCCAAACTACATTTCAATGAGAGGGGATTCCCTCCTGAGCCCCAGAACTACACATCCATCTGCACCCAGAGTATTCCCAACTGGAGGTCCCAGACTCCTCAGATCCAACATATCCAAACTCACTACCTGTGGTCAGCAGCCTCTAAGATGGTCCCAATGATACCATCTCCTGGTATTCGTACCCTTATGTAATCTCCCCTCTTTGAGTGTGGGCTGCACTTAGTGACTTGTTTCTAACAAACACAATAGGGCAGAAATGATGGCATATCACTTCCAGTATTAGGTTATGAAAAGACTGTCCCTTGCATCTTGGGATGCATTCTCTTATTCTCTCATTTGCTCACTCTGAGGGAAGCCAGCTGCCATGTTGTAACCTGTCCTATGGAGCGGCTGAGATGGCAAGGAACTGATGTCCCAGCCAACAGCCATGTGAGTGAGCTGGGGAGGGGATCTTTCCCCAGTAGCTTTGACATGACTGCAGTCTGGACAACATGTTAACTGTAGCCTGTGAGGGACTCTGTGCCAGCAGCAGTCAGCCAACATTTCTCCTTCCTCCTTTACATCTAGCTGCTCGCCAACTCTGTACATTCTACCTTCTAAAGAGGTTTCGAGATCTGGCCCATCCCTTGTTGCTCCTAGTCTCGATCAAGCCTGCACCATCTTTCACCTGGACTACTTTAATACCTTCCCCATTAGTTTCCCTGCTCTCAAACTCGCCCCTCTAATTGACCTGGCACAAGGGGATGCCAGAGTAATTTTTATAAAAGGCAAATAAAATATTAGCACTCATCTGCCTAAAAAGCCCTGCTATAGAAGGAAGTCCAAGCTCCAGAACATGTCCTGCAAATTCCTCTATGCCCAGAGTCTGTCTCAGACTCTAGCTTTATTTTCTCGCACTCACTGCTGCACATCTTGGGCTCTAATTGTGCTAAACTATTGGTAGCTCTAGGATGCTTTACTGCTCTCTTTGTGCTCTTCTACTTAAAAGACAACTTTATTTATCAAATATTTACTGAGCACCTAACCAAACCCGAGGTACTATTCTAGGCACGGGGGATCAAACAGCAAATAAAACAAGGTATGTTTTAACTCCTGCCCTCTTAGAGCTTACATTCTAGGAGAGAGACCACAAGCAAGTGAATAATTAAAACAAGGTAAGAACATAGAGTGTGATACAGTGGATGGAGGGGAGAGTCTGGCGGTCAGGGAAGGCCTTTCTAAGAAGGTGACATTTGTCATCCCATTTTCTTCCGGTTTGCACAGTTTCTGATGAGAACTTGTTGGTTATTCTTTGCTCCTCTGAACATAATTTGTCTCTCTAGGTGCTTCAGATTTTCTTATCATCACTGATTTGATTATGATAAGCCTTGGTGTGTGTGTGCACACGTTGGTGTGTGTGGCCATTTCTTCAAATAGTCTCCTGTATCTTCCTTGTCTCTTCTGCTCAGGGAACTCCAATTACACATATGTTAGACCATCGATATTGTACCATAGGTAACTCAGGGTCTGTTCATTTGTTTTTCCTGTCACTTTGCTCTCTCTGGTTCATTTTGAATAAATTCTATTGCTATGTCTTCAAGTTCGCTGAGCATTTCTTCTACAGAATCTAATTGGCTATTAATCCTGTCCAGTGAAATTTTCATTAGAGATATTTCCTTCCATTTGGTTCCTAGAAGTTCCATTTGGTTCTTTTTTAATAGCTCCATTTCTCTCTACATTAAGCTCATATTTTCCTTTAAATTTTTGTACATAGTTGTAATAGCTGTTTTAACATCTTTTTCCAACTAGTTTCATTATTTCTAATATTTATGGGTCTGTTTCTATTGATTTTCTCTTTAGGTATGGGTTGCCTTTTCCTGCCTTGTGGAATATCTAGTGGGTTTTTATTGGAAGCTGGACATTTAATGCTCAGTGTCTGGATTTTGCCTTCTTTTAAAAAGTGCTAGGTTTTTAGACAGTCAATTATTTGCAGATTATTTTGATACCTTCAAGGCTTATTATTCAAGCTTTACTAGGTTGGGCCTAGAGTAACTTTCATTCCAGGGAAGCTTCAGTCCATTAAGGCAGAACTTCTCTGGAGTCTCCACTGAATGCGTCCAGTAACCACCAAGCACTCTCCACACTGACTCTTTGGAGCTTGAACATCTCCCTGCTCTGTG